TTTTTTTTTTTTTGATTTTTCTAAAATATATTATTTCATTTTACCATCAAAACTTATTTGGCGGGGTTAGGTGGGGAAAGAAAAACTAAATGGGAACAAGAAAAATATGATACGTATACAGAGTTAAAAATTTTATGTATAAATCTTTTTCTGGCTTTTTATATTTGGTCAAGAACGATTATCAGGCTGTTGCAAGCTAGTTCAGTAGTTTACATCAGTGATAGGCTGATTTGGCCGTTTTGCTACTGCAGTTATTAGTTACAGTTTTTGGATACATTAATCTGATATATTTGCTCAACATTATCTGTTTCCAATTTTTTTCCTTTTGCTATTCTTCTGTATGGTCAACAATTACTGTTAACAGAACATTTTGGTATAGCAAAATTTATTGCCAATGATTCAGTCGTTATTTGCTCTAAACGGCACTATTTGGATATAATTGGTGCTGTAGGTTTAATAGGTTTGAAATTGTTGTTGCAAGAAAAATCTGAAATAATGTGGAGGATTAAAGGTGTAATGAAAACTTGTCCTAAGACTAGTGTTTTTTTTCTTGATCATATCCAATTAGGTATTGAGAGTAGAGGAAAAATAGCGACAAATCGTCACTGTTTTGTCGTTCTTAAAGGGCTGTTTGTAAATGGTCTCTCGTTTATGCATTTTTAATAGGTAGGTCTTTAACCATTTTAATGACCAATTTGCTCGTTGTTGTTTTTAATTTTCAAAATTAGAGGCAACTATATTTTATTGGACAGTAAGAAAACCGATAGTAGCTCTTCCAGACTTCCTGTCTTTTTTTCTTTTTGCTAGCTACTTTGTTGTACATTACAATTTATTATATATGCTCAGTTTGGTAATATTTTAGCGTAAGTTTATATGGGCGATTCCTCAACATGAAGGTCTAGCAAGGAATGAAAGTGTTCTGAAGGCACAGGCTTTCATCTATTTTCATCAGCAAAATTTTAAAGAACTTTACCGTATCCTTGAAAACAATCAATTTTCACCAGAAAATCATGCCGAATTGCAAAAGCTATGGATGAAGGCACATTATACTGAAGTTAGTCAGCAACATTCGTTAAAGTTGAATTTATTTCAGCAAATATATATATTTTTTATCGGGTATACTGTGTGTGTGTGTGTGAAAATTTATTCAGCAAAGAAAAATCATTGATTTTTTCGTCTTCATTTGTTTGTCGGTTACTGTTGTTATTGATGTTAGCAACATTCATATAACGGGCAACAGCTGAATAGAAGAAGTAAAGAAGACTAAAGTAAAGCATAAAAATTTGTATACTTTTTTTTTTTTTTTTGCAAAATTAAACATCTCAGCTGTTGATAACTTTTTTGTTTGTTTCTGAGTAATGACAAAGAAAAGCTGAAATTGATTTTTTTTTTTAAACTAATACTCGTTAGCAGAATTTTTGCATTATTTTTACCTTTTTTCTTAGGCTGAAAAAGTACGTGGTCGTGAACTTGGCGCAGTTGGTAAATATCGAATAAGACGGAAATTTCAATTTCCAAGAACAATATGGGATGGTGAAGAGACCAGCTATTGCTTTAAGGTTTAAACTTGACTGCTACTGCTGTTGTTGCCGCTGTTGCTGCTGCTGTTTATTGAGAACTTTATACGCTTCTTTTTTTTTGCCAGTTGTCAACTGTTTACAGCATTGATAAACACATCGTGAAATATGACAGATAAAAGAAAGGGTAAAAAATATTTTTAGGAGAAGTCAAGATATTTATTAAAAACATGGTATAGCAAAAATCCGTATCCGTCACCGAAAGAGAAGAAGGAGTTGGCAGCGGAGACCAATCTTACTGTAGTGCAAGTATCCAACTGGTTCAAAAATCGGCGACAACGCGATCGGGCTGCCGAAAACAAAGAAGGGTATGACAAACTGTTTTACATCTATCTATCTATCTATCTGTTGATCTATCGACTGATCTATCTATCTATCTATCTATCTATCTATATTGCTTGCTTGTCTGTCTATCTAACTGTCTTGCTTGTTTGCCTTTCTGTTTAGACTACAGTTCTCTCCAAAGTTGACGTATGTAAGTTTAAGTTGACAGTTCACTGCCAGCAAAAGATAAAGAAAGTTCAAAAGCTGGAAAAAAGCTGCCTATTTTTTACTTGAAGACAGAAAAAAAGTTTTTATTTTTGCAGAAAAGTGACTAAAAAAATGGAGAAGAGGTTAAAAAGTGACATCAGTTTTAGTGACTCGTCTTTTGATTTTCGACATTATCATGCATTTTCTGGTGTTGCAGTGAGAAAGGATGAAAAATTTAAACATCAAATATATAAACAAATAAATGAACAAAAGTAAATTTTGTTTAGTTATTCGTCTACAAAAATTTACTAACCGATTTGTTTGCAAATATTTTATTCTATTTTCTGTTTTTTTTTTCTCTTCTGCTGCATATTCAGTCTGTAATGATTCAATATTTCCTTTTGTCTTTTGGTTTTCATTACTGATTTATAAATAACTGCTGGTTAAGAAATAACAGA